TAGACTCTAGAATGAATAAAATAGTACGTCGTTATGTGACATATTATGTAGGGGTCGGCCTAGGAAAGGTTGAAGGGAGGGTGTAAAGGAGGTTTGGTGTGCGAGGGGCTTGGACTTCCAGCAAGAGTGCGTGAGCGTGTTAGACAGGAGCGAATGGAGACAAATGGCTTTTGGGACTTGATGTGCTGTTGGAGTGTAAGCAAGATAACATTTATGAAGGGATTCAGGGAAACCAGCAAGCCAAACTTGAGTCCTGGAGATGGGAAGTACAGTGTCTGCACTCTGAAGGAGGGGTGTTAATGTTGCAGTTTTATAACTATAGTGTAGGCATGCCTCTGGCAAGACAGTGATGGAGTGAATGATGATGAAAGCTTTTCTTTTTCAGGCCACCCTGCCTTGGTGGGAAACGGCCGATGTGTTAATAACAAAAAAAAAAAATTATGTGACGTGACGGCCATTCCCTGCCTTGTTATGGGTCAGCTGGGGAGACCTCCCACCATCCCCTGCCATCCCCCAACACTCACTCCCAACACCACCATCCCAGCTTCGTGAATACATGTTCAGTTCCACTTCTTTCCTACAAGCTAGCTGTGTTTGTGAATTGTGTTTTAATCTTTTAATTACCATATCTTGTATCTGCCAAGCAATCATGATACCCAGTAGGCATACCAGTGTTGCTGACTTACTGAATGACTTACAGACTTGACTGACTGACTGAATGACTTGACTGACTGAATAACTTGACTGACTTACTGAATGACTTAAAGTTAGACTTTTTCACTGAATAGGACTGAAACGGTGTCTAGAGCAGCTTATGCCTTACCGTCAGTTGTATAATGTGCTGCAGGGTATAATACTGTAGAACAGAAATCCATTACAGAATTTATACACACTTCAGTACAACCATCAACTTCAGTACCAGAACCTCTACCATCCACCTCAGCCCAGTAGGGCCACAACATAACTCTCCACTCTCTTCACAATCATCCACAAACACCAGCACCCACAATTTAAGGCAAGAAATACTATTATTTCTGTTGCAGTTATAGTCTTAAGCAGTAAAAACAACATAATACATCACAACAATGAACTACAATTATGTATTCACTTTTATTTTTTTTAAGATCTGGAGGTCTAAAAAAAAGTTGTTTGAGGGGAAGTTCGCATCCTGAATTTTTGCTCATATCCAGAAACAAAAAATCGACTGAGCGACTGCTCAGAAAGGTTTGTTCCTCAAGTTCCTCAAGTGAATTGCTGAATAGTAGTAAATCCTCAGTATAATATACTTTTAAAATACAGTAATAGGCAAAATCCATTGGGTAAATTGTACTTTTAACTCCCTTGTTTTCAGTGTTTATCACAATAGACAGTAACCTATCATTTAGTACACAATATATCAGAACATTTACACTACAAGATGATTGAGAACTTGAGGAATTTTTTCAATCACGACACTGTGATGCTCTTTTATGACAGTGTAAATTTAGGGAAATGCAGCTAAAAGTAGGTATAGCAAGGCTAATAACTGATAATTCAATTGTAACTACACATTTCTGTGCCTTTAACAAACATTCACTGACCCTAGGGGTATTTAAATACAAATGCAGAACATCAAAACACATCTTCCATGTCTCTGACCACAGTGCCAACCTATTCAGATCGCTCTGAATTACTCAGACAATATGCTTTGGAAGTTGTAATTTATCCTGACTTCCTGATGTTTGTAAATTTTGCTATTTTAGATTTTAGTCAGTTTATTAGGTAAAGGTACACAAATAGTTACACAATTATCATACATAGTAACATATGTGTAAATTACCTAGGATAACCAGAAAAAAAAGTCAAAATGACATTTCCATTGTAATGTTAGCCCTCTCTGAGATCATTTTCCTACAGTATGAAAGAAACTGGGCAAAAAACTAATTTCTGAGGAACTCTGCAATTAATATCTAGCCACTCAGACACCTCATGGTTCAGTGCCCCCCACCCCCTTCACTGTTTTCTATTGGTGAGGTGGTCAATAATAAATGCATAAAGTTTGTCTCCTACACCACATGTCTTTTATTTTTGCTAGCAATCCTTGAAGAAGTATTTTCTCAAATGCTTTTCAGAAATCATAACATATTACATTTGCTGGGACTTTTTTTTATCACAGTTTTTGTACTGTAGGTACAGAATTTATGTATGTACATACAACATAATTAAAAAATTCCAGTTTGTCTGGGATGATCTTACAATATATTGTACTTCAAGGTTTAGTAAGGCTTTGCAAGCAGAACTATTCTGAGTACTAACTAACTTAATTTATTTTCAGTGAGGTTCATTTTACTTACTTATCTAAGATGTCACCCACTACAATTGACTAACACCTGGGTCTCTATTTACCATTACATCATATAAAGTAAACATTATAAGATTTGCCCAAATGTTCCAACTCATAGTGGGGTTTGATCCGACGTCATCTCAGGTGTGTTCAGTGTATCTTAGCCTTAAAGTGTGAATTGACAGGAGAACGAAGGTGTATACTAACTGGCAGTGCTATAAATGTGTGCATCTCTCAGCCACGTTAAACAGTGGTGAATCTGGCTAGTAATCAAATGAGTTGGACAAGCCTACCATGGACCAGACTAGCAACTGCATTGCTACTCTATTCAGGGCAATAGTTTACAACTACTACTTGGTGGAACTCAGTCATTAGTTCACTTTTTACAATACTGTGAATACAACCCATGTACACCATGGAATAAGTAAATATTTCTTGTGCAGATTGTTAATTTTGGAGATATTAAAATGTTACATTTACTTAGATGGTGCAGCTTGTCTGAGCCAATCAACACTATCACTCCATAACCTATGTCTAAGTCTGAGTATTCTGTAAGCATTAGAATTAGTCTTTCCAAAATGCTCATGCATGCTAGTGACTTTCTTTGTATTTAACAATGTTTTATTACTACACATCAACTATACACTATACTACACAAAGAAATAAAAATTTTGATTTTGATTTTTGATTTGTGTCATGTTCTTGTGGCAGAGGCTGAATGTACACAAAGACATATCTACCAATGGCAAAGTAAGGTTAAGTCAAATTGGGTTACTGTGGGTTGGGGTATACCTGGAGTTTACCTGGAGAGAGTTCCGGGAGTCAACGCCCCCGCGGCCCGGTCTGTGACCAGGCCTCCTGGTGGATCAGAGCCTGATCAACCAGGCTGTTGCTGCTGGCTGCATGCAAACCAACGTACAAGCCACAGCCGGGCTGATCAGGAACTGACTTTAGGTGCTTGTCCAGTGCCAGCTTGAAGACTGCCAGGGGTCTGTTGGTAATCCCCCTTATGTGTGCTGGGAGGCAGTTGAACAGTCTCGGGCCCCTGACACTTATTGTATGGTCTCTTAACGTGCTAGTGACACCCCTGCTTTTCATTGGGGGGATGGTGCATCGTCTGCCAAGTCTTTTGCTTTCGTAGTGAGTGATTTTCGTGTGAGGGTTTCATTAGCTTAGGTTAAGCTTTTACCATTTGTACATTACAATAATACCTCAAATGCAAAAACAACTTAATTTTGTACAATTCAAATCATAATTAATCACCAAAATCTACTAAGGAGAAGTTGTCTTATTACCAGGTTTATGGTTAAACTTTTACAGTGGTCTTATTATTATAGTTATAAACCCACAGGGGGTCATAGAGAGCCTCGGAATGGGAGGTAACCAGGTTCAATGCAAAGGATTAAGGATTTTATTCCTTTGCATAGTTTACAATGTGTAATTACAATTTTGATTTGCTAAGTACAAAGAAAGCTACTATCATGCTGGAGCATTTTGGGCAGACTAAATGTAATGCTTAACAGACTACTTAATACTAGGCATATATAACAGATGGTTTGAACGGCGAGGGCCTGGGTTCGATTCCCAGCCAGAGTAGAAACATTGGTGGCCCGGTGGCCTGGTGGCTAAAGCTCCCACTTCACACACGGAGGGCCCGGGTTCGATTCCCGGCAGGTGGAAACATTTCGACACGTTTCCTTACACCTGTTGTCCTGTTCACCTAGCAGTAAATAGGTACCTGGGTGTTAGTCGACTGGTGTGGGTCGCATCCTGGGGGACAAGATTGAGGACCCCAATGGAAATAAGTTAGACAGTCCTCGATGACGCACTGACTTTCTTGGGTTATCCTGGGTGGCTAACCCTCCGGGGTTAAAAATCCGAACGAAATCTTATCTTATCTTATATTTCAACAGAGGTAGTTGGTGGCTTAGCAGTAGTTGAATTTATAATTGAGATGAATTGATTAACATGTTACAGTATTATATTTTGGCACATTTTACAAAGGGAAGACAGATCCAATTCTTGGATCACGAGCCCCTCACTAGCATCAATGTTTATAGCACACTACATAGAATCTACTCTGAGATAACCTAATAGTAAAAAAAAAAAGGTGACATTTCAATTTGGGTCTTTGATTTCCATTAGGATTCTGGAGTAGGTCTACTGGTCCATAGCAGTGCCCATGGTTTGTTCAGGGTGGACCCATGGTATATACAGAGTTGGCCCATGGTTTATACAGGGGTGGGCCCTATGGTATATACAGGGTGGGCCCTTTGTATAAACAGTGTGGGCCCCATGGTATATACAGGGGTGGGTCCATGATATATACAGGGTGGGCCCCATAGTTTGCTCACGGTAGGCTCATTTTTTCAGGGTAAGCACATGGATGGTTCAGGGTAGGCCCATAGATGGTTCTGGGTAGGCCCATGGCAGGCAGTAGTAACACTTTGCAAGCCATTAAAGTTGTACCACAACATAACATTCAACAAAGCAACACAAACTAACAAAACTAAGATCTCAACAGCAGCCACTACCACTATGTGCACATCAAGGGCGCTACACAGGTGCTACATAGGTGCAGGCACTACTAACCAACACTTAGACCACAATGAAACGCTCATCTCAACGATTACTGACTCATCGGAGGAAGACAAATAATTAGGGAGTAATGTGATACCTGGGGACGTGTGAGCCATGAGTCCGTGAGTGAACTGTGTTGCTATTGTGCTGTGCTGGCCACCACTCACTCACTCAGTCAAGTGAGCGATGCGACCACTTACTTGGTCAAGTGAACGATGCGACCACTTACTCGGTCAAGCGAACGATGCGACCACTTACTTGGTCAAGTGAACGATGCGACCACTTACTTGGTCAAGCGAACGATGCGACCACTTACCTGGTCAAGTGAACGATGCGACCACTTACTTGGTCAAGTGAACGATGCGACCACTTGGTCAAGTGAACGATGCGACCACTTACTTGGTCAAGTGAACGATGCGACCACTTGGTCAAGCGAACGATGCGACCACTTACTTGGTCAAGCGAACGATGCGACCACTTACCTGGTCAAGTGAACGATGCGACCACTTACTTGGTCAAGTGAACGATGCGACCACTTACTTGGTCAAGTGAACGATGCGACCACTTACTTGGTCGAGTGAGCGATGCGACCACTTACTCGGTCAAGTGAGCGATGCAACCACTTACTCGGTCAAGTGAACGATGCGACCACTTACTTGGTCAAGTGAACGATGCGACCACTTACTTGGTCAAGTGAACGATGCGACCACTTACTTGGTCAAGTGAACGATGCGACCACTTACTCGGTCAAGTGAGCGATGCGACCACTTACTTGGTCAAGTGAGCGATGCGACCACTTGGTCAAGTGAACGATGCGACCACTTACTTGGTCAAGTGAACGATGCGACCACTTACTTGGTCAAGTGAACGATGCGACCACTTACTCGGTCAAGTGAGCGATGCGACCACTTACTTGGTCAAGTGAGCGATGCGACCACTTACTTGGTCAAGTGAACGATGCGACCACTTGGTCAAGTGAACGATGCGACCACTTACTTGGTCAAGTGAACGATGCGACCACTTACTTGGTCAAGCGAACGATGCGACCACTTACTTGGTCAAGTGAACGATGCGACCACTTGGTCAAGTGAACGATGCGACCACTTACTTGGTCAAGTGAACGATGCGACCACTTACTCGGTCATGTGAGCGATGCGACCACTTACTTGGTCAAGTGAGCGATGCGACCACTTACTCGGTCAAGTGAGCGATGCGACCACTTACTCGGTCAAGTGAACGATGCGACCACTTACTTGGTCAAGTGAGCGATGCGACCACTTACTTGGTCAAGTGAACGATGCGACCACTTACTTGGTCAAGTGAGCGATGCGACCACTTACTTGGTCAAGTGAACGATGCGACCACTTACTCGGTCAAGTGAGCGATGCGACCACTTGGTCAAGTGAACGATGCGACCACTTACTCGGTCAAGTGAGCGATGCGACCACTTACTTGGTCAAGTGAACGATGCGACCACTTACTCGGTCAAGTGAGCGATGCGACCACTTACTTGGTCAAGTGAACGATGCGACCACTTACTCGGTCAAGTGAGCGATGTGACCACTTACTTGGTCAAGTGAACGATGCGACCACTTACTCGGTCAAGTGAGCAATGCAACCACTTACTTGGTCAAGTGAAAGATGCGACCACTTACTCGGTCAAGGGAGCGATGCGACCACTTACTTGGTCAAGTGAACGATGCGACCACTTACTCAGTCAAGTGAGCGATGCGACCGCTTACTTGGTCAAGTGAACGATGCGACCACTTACTCGGTCAAGTGAGCGATGCGACCACTTACTCGGTCAAGTGAGCGATGCGACCACTTACTTGGTCAAGTGAATGATGCAACCACTTACTTGGTCAAGTGAACGATGCAACCACTTACTTGGTCAAGTGAACGATGCGACCACTTACTCAGTCAAGTGAGCAATGCGACCACTTACTTGGTCAAGCGAACGATGCGACCACTTACTCGGTCAAGTGAACGATGCGACCACTTACTTGGTCAAGCGAACGATGCGACCACTTACTCGGTCAAGTGAACGATGCGACCACTTACTTGGTCAAGTGAACGATGCGACCACTTACTTGGTCAAGTGAACGATGCGACCACTTGGTCAAGTGAACGATGCGACCACTTACTTGGTCAAGCGAACGATGCGACCTCTTACTAGGTCAAGTGAACGATGCGACCACTTACTTGGACAAGTGAACGCTGTGACCACTTACTTGGTCAAGTGAACGACGTGACCACTTACTCGGTCAAGTGAATGATGCGACCACTTGGTCAAGTGAATGATGCGACCACTTACTTGGTCAAGCGAACGATGCAACCACTTACTTGGTCAAGTGAACGACGCGACCACTTACTCGGTCAAGCGAACGATGCGACCTCTTGGTCAAGTGAACGATGCGACCACTTACTCGGTCAAGTGAATGACGCGACAACTCAGTGAACTACACGACCACTTACTCGGTCAAGTGAACGACGCGGCCTGTAGTTTACCTAGAGAGAGTTCCGGGATCAACACCCCCGCGGCCCGGTCTGTGACCAGGCCTCATGGTGGATCAGGGCCTGATCGACCAGGCTGTTACTGCTGGCTGCACGTAATCCAACGTACGAACCACAGCCCAGCTGGTCAGGTACCGACTTTAGGTACTTGTCCAGTGCCTGCTTGAAGACAGCCAGGGGTCTATTGGTAATCCCCCTTATGTATGCTGGGAGGCAGTTGAACAGTCTTGGGCCCCTGACACTTATTGTGTTGTCTCTGAACGTGCTAGTGGTACTCCTGCTTTTTCATTGGGGGGATGTTGCATCGTCTGCGGAGCCTTTTGCTTTTGTAGGGAGTGATTTTCGTGTGCAAGTTTCGTACTAGTCCCTCTAGGATTTTCCAGGAATATAAAATCATGTATATCTCCCGCCTGCGTTCCAGGGAGTACAAGTTCAGCAACGTCAAGCACTCCCAGTAATTGAGGTGTTTTATCTCAGTTATGCGCGCCGTGAAGGTTCTCAGTACATTTTCTAGGTCAGCAATTTCACCAGCCTTGAAAGGTGCTGTTAGTGTGCAGCAATATTCCAGCCTAGATAGAACAAGCGACCTGAAGAGTGTCATCATGGGCTTGGCATCCCTAGTTTTGAAGGTTCTCATTATCTATCCTGTCATTTTACTAGCAGATGCGATTGAAACAATGTTATGGTCCTTGAAGGTGAGATCCTCCGACATGATCACTCCCAGGTCTTTGACGTTAGTTTCTCGCTCTATTGTGTGGTTGAAATTTGTTTTATACTCTGATGAAGTTTTAATTTCCTCACGTTTATCATATCGGAGTAATTAAAATTTCTCATCGTTGAACTTCATATTGTTTTCCGCAGCCCATTGAAAGATTTGGTTAATGTCCGCCTGGAGCCTTGCAGTGTCTTCACTGGAAGACAGTGTCATGCAGATTCGGGTGTCATCTGCAAAGTAAGACACGGCACTGTGGCTTATATCCCTGTCTATGTCTGATATGAGAATGAGGAACAAGATCTGAGCGAGTACTGTGCCTTGTGGAACAGAGCTTTTCACCGTAGCCGCCTCAGACTTTACTCTGTTGACTACTACTCCTTTTTGTGTTCTATTTATCAGGAAATTATAGATCCATCTACCAACTTTTCCTGTTATTCCTTTAGCACATATTTTGTGCGCTATTACGCCATGGTCACACTTGTCAACTCTTTTGCAAAGTCTGTGTATATTACGTCTGTATTCTTTTTGTCTTCTAGTGCATCCAGGACCTTGTCGTAGTGATCCAGTAGTTGGAACAGACAGGAGCTACCTACTCTAAACCCATGCTGCCCTAGGTTGTGTAATTGATGGGTATCTAGATGGGTGGCTCTCACCTTCAAGGACCATAACATGGTATCAGTCGCATCTGCTAGAAAAATGACAGGATGGACAATGAGAACCTTCAAAACTAGGGATGCCAAGCCCATGATGACACTCTTCAGGTCGCTTGTTCTATCTAGGCTGGAATATTGCTGCACACTAACAGCACCTTTCAAGGCAGGCGAAATTGCTCATCTAGAAAATGTACAGAGAATCTTCACGGTGCTCATAACGGAAATAAAACACCTCAATTACTGGGAGCGCTTGAAATTCCTGAGCCTGTACTCTCTGGAACGCAGGTGGAAGGGATACATGATTATATACACCTGGAAAATCCTAGAGGGACTAGTACCGAACTTGCACACGAAAATCACTCACAACGAAAGCAAAAGACTCGGCAGACGATGCAACATCCCCCCAATGAAAAGCAGGGGTGTCACTAGCACGTTAAGAGACAATACAATAAGTGTTAGGGGCCCGAGACTGTTCAACTGCCTCCCAGCATACATAAAGGGGATTACCAAGAGACCCCTGGCTGTCTTCAAGCATTCACTGGACAAGCCCCTAAAGTCGGTACCTGACCAGCCGGGCTGTGGCTCGTACGTTGGTTTGCGTGCAGCCAGCAGTAACAGCCTGGTTGATCAGGCTCTGATCCACCATGAGGCCTGGTCACAGACCGGGCCTCGGGGGCCTTGACCCCCAGAACTCTCTCCAGGTAAACTCCAGGTATCGATCTGTAGTTCTTTGCTATTGCTTTACTGCCCCCTTTGTGGAGTGGGGCTATGTCTGTTGGTTTAAGAAACTGTGGAACGAACCCAGTGTCCATGCTCCCTCTCCATAGGACGTTAAAGGCACGTAATAGGGGCTTCTTGCAGTTCTTGATGAACACGGAGTTTCACGAGTCTGGCCCTGGGGCAGAGTGCATGGGTATGTCATTTATCGCCTGTTCGTTCATTTGGCGTCAGGATAACGTCAGATAGGCTTGTGTTTACCAAAATTCTGTGGCTCTCTCATAAAAAAATCATTTAGATCTTCGACTCTCAGTCATATTGGGACTCGAGTAGCTCATTCATTTCCTTGTAGGACCCATCTTGTTTAAGTAGGGGCCCAATACTGGATGTTGTTCTCGACTTTGATTTTCCTTAAGAAAAGAAATACTTTGGGTTTCTTTCGATTTCATTTATGACTTTTAGTTCTTCCCGCGATTTCTGACTCCTATAAGATTCCTTTAGCTTTAGTTCGATGTTTGCTATTTCTCTGACCATCGTCTCCCTACGCATTGCAGATATATTGGCCTCTTTTAGCCGCTCTGTTATTCTTTCCCTTCGCCTGTCTCTTTCTATTTTACATCTCTTTTTTCTTAAA